TCCTTCCCCTGCTCCTTCCCCTGTCACCGCCGAGCTCAGGAATGCACAGGGCACCTCCTCACCTGGGAGTGCAGCAACTGCACCCGCTCGCTGGTCTCAATCAGCTCCTGCTCCGCCAGCTTCCGAGACCGCTCTGTCTGCTCCACCACAGCCCGCAACTCCTCCAGCTCGGCCTGCAGCAGGTTGTTGCGCCGCTCCACGATGGCAATGTTCTCCTTCAGGTCGTCGTTGGCATGGACGGCATCGTCCAGCTGGAGCTGGGTGTCCTATGGGGAAAGCGTGATGGGAAAGGGCATAGATCGTATGCCATCCAAACCTCTCATTTTGGGTCTGGCACACCTCACCCCATCCCTTCCGACAGCCTCTTGTCAACAGGAAGGTAAGCACCTATCTCATTGTTTATTCTCTAGTGCTGAGGCTCTGCTCCAGGAGGTAGGTGGCTCCTACCTTCTCATATTTGTTAACCCAGTTACTCCCTGTCCTTTACTACCTCCCATTCAAGTGTTAACCAGGCCCAGCCCTGCTTAGCTTCCAAGATCGGACAAGATTGGGATAAAATGTTTTGGTTGTAGACCTTTTAGCATCTTTCTGGGCACTACACACACTCTGACTCGCTACCTTCTGAGAGCCCTGGCTCCTGTTACCTTCAAGTGGGCCTGGGCATTCTTCAGGTGCTTCTGGGACTCTGAGGCTATTCTATTAGCCTGGCTGAGCTGGATCTCCATCTCATTGAGGTCGCCCTCCATCTTCTTCTTCACCCGCAGGGCCTCGTTGCGGCTGCGCGTCTCTGCATCCAGGGAGGTCTGCAGGGAGTCCACCACCCGCAGGTGGTTGCGCTTGGCCTGCTCCATCTCCTCATCCTTCTCTGCCAGTTTCCGTTCGATCTCTGCCTTGATCTGGTTGAACTCAAGCTGGGCGCGGAGGATCTTGCCCTCCTCGTGCTCCAGGGAGGCCTGGAAAGGGAAGAGGAGTCGAAGATGGGTAATCAGGGCTGAATTAGGTTGGGTATTGGGGATGAGAGGATGACAGACTTTAACCAGGACTGCAACCAAGAAAGGAGCTGTGGTGATAGACCCTGTACCCACACTGCAGTGGGAGAGGAAATGCTGGACCCCTAGAGCCTCCTAACTCCTGGACCATCCTCCGAAAAGAAAAGAATCTGACTTCTCAGTCACCAGACCTTTGGGACTAACATAGCAGGAGTCCTGACCCGCCAAAATAAAATCATAGAAAAGGTTGAAGTTTCCATAGCCCTGTGGCTTCGTAGAAAAGCACAGTTGCAATGGCTAATATATAACAAATCCTTGACTGTGTTATCTTGCTCCATCTTCATAATAATCATACACAGTCTTATGAGGTGTATATATTAGTTCCACCTTACCAATGAGGACAGCAAGGCACCCAGATGGTCTCATGCCAGGGTTCAAACCCAGGTCATTTGGCTCTGGGGCCTGAGTTCCTCCCCAGCTGTTTGAGCTGTCATTATGATGGCCAGATTCCAACTGGGAAGCAAACCTTCTGCCCTAAAAGCAGACCATGGCATTGTCCAGGGTGAAGACCTTAGCTTTGGAGGCAGTAAATGATTACTGGGTACATGATCTTCTACCAAGAACGGGAGCCAAGAGACTTTTGCCTTTGGATCAGGGTGACTCCTGTAAGGTAGGACACAATGGGACAGACTGGAGGGTGCAGAGAGAGGCAGCCCTTTACCTCAGCCTCCTCCAGGGCCGACTGCAGCTCCATCTTCTCCACCTCCAGCTGCTTGCGGACTTTCTCCAGCTCATGCACATTTTTCCCCCCTTCTCCCAGCTGCTCAGTCAGGTCTGAGATCTCCTCTGAGGATCAGAGGACCAGAAAGATCAATATTGGGGGTCTGTGCGATCACACTTGGTCCTCCCCTGCCCTTGTGGCCCTTCCCGCCCCTCGGCCACACACCCTGGAGGTTCTTGTTCTCCCTCTTGAAGGTCTCCAGGTGCTCCAGGGACTCCTCGTAGGCATTCTTGAGTTTGAACAGCTCTGTGCTCAGGGAGCGCGCCTCCTTCTGGGACGACTCCAGCTCTGACTGGGACTCCTCATACTTCTGCTTCCACTCTGCCAGGATCTGCAGGGCAGGGGCAAGCTGTCCAGAGCTGCCCCAGGCCCCTCCCCTGCCTCCAAGGAGAATGCTCTGGCCTTGAGCTGGCACTGCCCCCACCAGCCCCGCGCACATGCACGCTGCGCTGCCCGCAGCCCCGCCGTGAGCCTACCTTGTCGAAGTTCCTCTGCTTCTTGTCCAGGGCTGCGGCGGCGGCATTGGAGCGTTCCACATCCACCATCAGGTCCTCGATCTCATTCTGCAGCCTGTGCTTGGTCTTCTCCAGGGAGGAGCACTTGGCGTTGACGGCCTCCACTGCCTCCTCTGCGTCCTGAAGCCTCTGGGCCAGCTTCTTCCTGTCCAGGGGAATGTATGTGACTGTACTTGGGGCATCAAGGCCTTGACATGATCCTCTTCTTCCCAGTGTTGATGAGAAAAACCCAGTTTCTCCCCAGTGATCCCTGAGGTCCTCGAACCCCAGTCTAGAGGAGGTGAGACTGTTGGTGCCTAGGACAGAGTCTTCTAGCATAGGCTGCTCAGCCCTTCTCCCCCGCCACAGCCATCTGGGTGGCAGTGCCCCCCTCCAGGTTGAGTCCCCCCCCAGGCTGAATGGCGATCGCTCCTCTGACCAACAAGCTTTTTGCTCGTCTTATACGTGAGTGTCAGGTATAACCCGGGCCAAAAGCTCACCCGTCAAAGGAAATACATCAGGGCCGGCCAGCCGGATGTTCCGGTGTGCAGGAGTCAGGCTTCTCTCAGATGCCTCTCTTGTTTACCCGTCCTCCCCACTCCTCTATCCTGTGCCTACTCTGCCTGTCTTCACAGCAGATGCCCCGCCCCTTTCTCTTTGCAAATGCAGGTGGTACCCACAGAGGACTCACTTGGCTTCCTCCAGCTCCTCCGTCCTCTGGATGGCGTCCGTCTCATACTTGGTCCTCCACTGGGCCACCTCTGAGTTGGCCTTGGACAGGACACGCTGTAGCTCAGCCTTGGC